TATTTAATGCTTATTTCACAGAAAGGGAACTTTCTCCAACTCAGCTTTCCAGGATCTGTGCAACTACCAAAGTATCGGCAATCCTGTAATAAATTAAAAAGAATGTTGGTAACCGTTGAATGTCGGTCGGTCATCGCTGTCATGATTGGGTTATTTTCGTGTCCTTTTCATGAAACTGATGCTGCGGTGCTGATTTATGTTTTAATGCCCTCAGCAAGGAGTGGCTTGTTTCTAAAGGCAGTCTACAGCCACATGGCCAACCGTAAGGTGTAGATTCCTGTTTCGTTTTCACAAACTGGTAGAAATTTATCAAATCTGGAACGAAGAAAAACGAATGACACTGGCCGAGGCTTGAAACCTGGACCTGTGGTTCTGAGTTCGAGGCTCTACCAACTCAGTTACCCGATCTGAAGGAATGACAAATTCCATGCTTAGTGAAATTAGTAAATATAACAAGATTGTCCGCGAAACCTCGGGGAATCAAACCCGGCACATGCGAAGCAGGTTTCTTTGATACTGTGCCAGCAACCTACTGAAACAGTAATTCCAGTCATGAATTACGTCTTGAACGATATGTTTTATATCAATGGGCAGGTCATACCCACGTTTGCTTCATTGAGAGTTTTATTCCATTATTCCTGCATATATTAATTTATTACTGATTTATGATGAATAATAAATTTTTTATATGATCAGCAGCTAACTTATTTTAAGTTATAACGAATGACGGCTTGTCATACAACAGGTACTTCCTCAGACAAACCATCCTAGCCTTAGCTCAATGGTTGGTTTCTGCAGCAGCTACAAATAGTTCGCTATGAGTTCTTCCTGTGATGGCTCATCTGTCGAACGATTGCATAAACGTGTGAAAGATTGGGCGCCATCTGTAGAACGCGATGCTCGAACAGCATAAAAAAATTTTTGCAATGCGGTGACAGTGGTTGCAGATCGAACAAAATGAAAAGGGCACCGCGTTGGGCGAATACTCAAGACTAAAAGCAATAACAAGCAATCTTTTCGTAATTCAAGCTTTTTAGCACCGCTAAGGCGAGGGGTTGAATTTCGCCCAAGGCATTCTTTGTCTTATTCACGAATTCCCTTGAGCATTTAATGTAATACATATTGATTCAGACGAGTCACTCGTTGGTAAGGAATGTAAACAGGACACTACCCTCTACACTTGCCACATGGTTGTAGACTTTGTCTTAAAGAAGTGAGGCTATGCTGGCTGATAGCACAAAAAAAGAGATCAGCATCGCACCATCAATTTTTTAAAAAGAAGGGCGCGAAAATGGCCCAATTATGACAGCGAAGGAAGGTCGATCGACAATGCAAGATCGTCCAACTTTCTGTTCCTTTCCTATTGCTACAAAGTCACCTCACCATCGATCTCGTTGAGTCTGTAGCAGTCAGCTGATCGTCGTTTGAGGTACCAGTGCTTCTTTCGCAACAAAGAAGCTGACAGCGGTCGTCGAACGAGTTTCACGGATTTTTCGAAGCCAGCCTAGCAGCAGCCATCGCACTGTGGCGTTCAATGCAGGTTCACATTTCCGAGCATCGAAATCGAAAGCTAGCAACTTATCACTTACCCTCTGAAGATCTCCCTCTGTCACCGAGGTCTTCGCCGCTCGTCTGTGCATTTTGACCCACATAAAGGCGTCGAAGCACCGTAAGTAGGTGATCATCGATGATACGCAGCGAGTTCATAGTCTGCACTACAAAAGATGACGTGTGAAGCGTGCGCGTTTTTTACACATAATTCGTTTCGGTGTCATATGCATTTGTGTTCCTATGCTTCGCTCCTAAATGAAATCGTAGCCATCAAGCATCAGCAGCACAGAACTGTCTCGACGTGCAGCTTTCGTCACCGATGGTGAGTATTCAAGAGACGAAGGTGGACGAAAAGACAGAAGTGGCAATGATTCATCGGATGCTGCCTCATCGAATCAGAGGTTTCGACGCTGATTTCAGCTGCAATATCGGTTTTCGCTTTCTAGTTTTAAAAACGAATGAAAGTTTCTTGTGTCAAGATTTCGAGCAATGATTTTCATAGGCGAAAGGACGAGGTTGGAACGACGCAAGTGAAAGTCAGCAGTCGACAAGGCGGTCGTCAGCACTGAACAACTTAACACTGGCTTTCCCTCAGCCCTTACCTTCAGTATATCGAGGTGGCGGGTTGGCTTATTACGGAACCCTGCTTTCTTTGAGATACATCTGTCAGAGGGCCTGCATGGAATCTTTAGAACAGAAGCAACCATGGTGCATATGTTTACGCTTGTGTCCGTGGTAGTGAGTTTTTTCATGCTTTCATTCCGTACGTTTTTACCCTGCTTTTTTCGCTTACCATTTTAGACAAAATAATTGGCCGAAATATCTTCAGACAGCAGTGAGGTAGTAGGAAAGATCAGCATAGTATACCGATAATGTAAGTTTCTCTCATCATCGTCGTAGAGGGCACATGGTCTTGTGAGGATGGCGTCTAACTATTTAAAAATCGATGAACCTAGTTGAGGAATTGCCAATTTTTGACTCTTTTCGTTGCTTTCCCTCGTTACTGCGATCGTATCGTTTGTTCCCTTAGACAGGCCTGATTTATTGGCGTGAAGCTACGTCCATAACATGCGTTCGTACTACAGCGAAGGTTAGCGAGAACACAATTCACCATACCTTGCTCTTGTCCGAACCCATTCTTAAAAATGGCAGAATATGATACTCTTATACATGAAATACTCTTATCATGCGGTCTACCCACTAAACGGAAAGCGACCACACCATCATTACTTCGGATTCTCGAACACCCAGCCACCACCAAACGGCCAATACTGAATTCTGCTGGCATTCATGATGGTGGTGAGGTGGCTTTCTGTTAATTTTACTTGGTTTTTGATATATTTTGATTCCGTTTATTATTCAAGATCTTGCTTCTGGTTTCATGGACTGGTTTGGTAGCTGTGTATCTGTGTTGCTCCTCTGTTTTGTATGTTTACGTTCTTAATTCATTTTGTTGAATAACGTG